AATAATAATAATAATAATAATAATAATAATAATAATAATGAGACAAAATAAAATAGACCAAATACTATTTCAACCATTGGCAGAGCATTCCTTCATAGTAGTAGTTAGTAGTAACGCACAGCTGTCCATATGTGAATCTAGCAGTGAAATTTCAAAACCGTCTTCTTCTTTATACAGCCTTCAATGTTCTTTACAATCACAAGTCCCTGAAGTGTGTACAGGTCTATAAAGAGAAATAAGAGAATACCATTTCAAAAAAAAAAAAGATAACAACGTAATTATTCTATTTCTACACTTATCAAATAATCTTTCTCAATGGTAATAGGCATACTTCTTACGCATAAGCACAAAATACGTGCTTGTGTATTTTTTTTTTCTTTCCTTTACAGCATAATGTCTCTTTTGTAATTCCAAACAACACTCTTTCCTCATGAATAATGATGGAATTCTTGTTGACTGAAGTATAAGAAAAAAGTATATATATGTATATATATATATATATACTTGCGTCAATGTCTAGGAGGATGAGGTTGTCTTCTTATCATTCTCTGGACAGTAAACCATACAAGCCTTCAATCGCTTCAAAACTGCAAATACATCAGATTCATCATCTGCAATTTTACCACCAGTATCAACAGTACTATTACTGCCCTGACTGGTTCCTCCTACACTACTGCTGGAGGAATCATTCACACCAGCGGTGTTGTTATTGCGGGAAAAAAACCAATTCTTTTTCACTGACTCTTCTGTATTTAATGGAACAGACCCTTTCTTATTATCTTCTTGTTCTTCCATCTTTGCTCGGCTTGAGCGTCCCCAACCGGCGGCGTAAGCACCAAAATTACTGTTATTATTATTATTATTATTATTATTATTATTATTATTATCTTTATTATTTTCAACAACCTCTGAACGCCACCGCTCCGATTGCCAACGTTGTTGTTGTTGTTGTTGTTGATTATTAACAGATGATGTGAGTTGTGATTCATCCTTTTTTTCTTCTTTTTCTTTTACCAAGAAACTTTTCTTCATTGCCTCTGCCTCTTCTAACCGTTTCTGCTCTGCTATTTGCTCTTCTATGGTAGGTTGATCCTCCATATTAGGAAAGGTTGGATGCCAACGTTTGAGTACCACCATGGGATCGCAATCATATACTCTTTTCCCAACACTTCTATTCACCGCATTATGAAATTCACACATATAACGATTAAGAGCCAATTTATCCGTAACCACTGGTGGGTGTTTTTCAAAATAACGTCTCATATGATAACTGCAGTGACTACAGGCATAGGCGTAGGACCATCCATGAAGAAAACTACGAAATGCCTCCTGCTGTACAGCTGAGGGTTTATACGGGTACACCGCAGCCGCAGTGTGGAGTATATTCCATCCGGCATGTCCAAGTTCACCGGGTCTCGGACACTTTCCGGGAATTTCCTTCAGTGGCTCCTCTGAAGACATATTTTAACTCTTCTTCTTTATATATATATATATATATATAT